AATTCCGAAACTGTACACATCCCCTCTTGTTGAAACCATTCCTTCCAATCCATACTCTGCATTATGAATTATACTTATATATTCATGTGTATGAATATATATTAAATGAATATTATGCATAATTAAGGACAGCATGTATAGAATTGAAAGATATTAAATTAGCAAGTACATCACCTGGAGCCATATACCCAACAGTGGCTAGAGTCATGGTTTGGGTAATAGAATCTCCTCCACCCGAGAGTTTTGCAATTCCAAAATCAGCAACATGTGCAACCATATCATCATCCAGTAGTATATTGCTTGGCTTCATATCACAATGCACAATAGGTATTGAATAACCATGGTGTAGGTATTCCAGTGCAGATGCAGCATCTATCATTATGTTCAACCTCTGTAAGATATTCAAAGAATTTTGAGAGTACAACCACTTCTCGAGGCTCCCGTTAGGCATGTATTCGAGTACCAAGGCTTTGAAATCAATTTCACTGCAACAGCTGATGATTTTGATAAGGTTTCTATGATGAATATTGCTTAGCATTTCACATTCCCTATCAAAACTCTTGAAAGCCCCTTCTAGCTGTAAACTGAAAACCTTTACTGCAACATTTGTTCCATCTGAAAGTGTCCCTTTATATACTGAGCCAAATCCCCCACTTCCAAGTAAGTTGTTTTTGTTAAGTCCATTTGTTGCCCTTAGAAGATCTAGGTGTGAAATTCTTCTCCACAGAAGTTGAGGCAACGAGTTAGCCTCTCTTGCAACTTCCACATTCCTTTTCCTGCATAGTACAAAGATAGATACGGAGGCCACAAGGAGAATAACTGATATGATCCCTGGGATGATATATTTAGCTTTCCTCCAATTTGGTTCAACTGTACCATTTTTGCATGGTGGAACCTGAAGTCGGGCTGCACCACAGAGTGCTTTGTTTGAGACAAATGATTGAGCAGAGAAGTTTTGGAACGGTCCACCAATTGGAATTTCTCCTTGGAGCCTGTTGAAAGACACATCCATATACTTGAGAAAAAGCGTCCCTTTATATACTGAACCAAAACCCCGACTTCCAAGTAGGTTGTTTTCATTAAATCCATTTGTGCCCCTTAGAAGTTCTAGATGTGAAACTCTTCTCCAAAGAAGTTGAGGCAACGAGGTAGCCTCTCCTGCAACTTCCACATTCCTTTTCCTGCGTAGTACAAAGATAGATACAGAGGCCACAAAGAGAATTACTGATATGATCCCTGGGATGATATATTTAGCTTTCTGGGACGATATATTTAGCTCTCCTTGGAGCCTGTTGAAAGACAAATCCATATACTTGAGAAGTAACAGAGCTTCTAAAGACTTGGGAATCACTCCAGACAAATTGTTTCTGGACAAATCCAAGAGTTGCAGGCTTAGCAACCCGTCAAATGAACTTGGAATAGGGCCTTCCAAATTATTATTTGCCAAGGATAGATTAACCAAACCCTGAAGAACCCCAATAGTGCTTGGTAGGTACCAAATAAATTGTTATTTGATAAATCTGCCTCTATCACAACCTTCAAGTTTCCAATATCTTGTGAGAGATGTCCAATTAGATAATTGGATGATAAGTCGACACGCAAGATATAGGCGAGTCTCCAAAAGTTAGATGGTATTGTGGAACTCAACGAATTGGACGCCAATGATAGATATCTTAGAGATGCGGTTAGATTTCCCAAGCAAGAAGGTATAGAACCATAGAGCTGATTACTACTCAAATCTAAGAAAGCTAGGTTATCTAATTGACATAGTTGATATGGGATGTACCCTCTCAACTTGTTATCATTCAAGCCTAAAGCTTGGAGATTCCCTAGTCTTGTCAGTGAAGTTGGAATTGATCCACTCAATTGATTGTGTCCCAGGTTTAAGTATATCAAGCTGCTCAAGTTGCCAATACCAATGGGAATGTTACCCCTCATGCTGCAATTGTATAAATAAATATATTGTAGCGACGATGTAGAGAAATTCCGAAAGGAATCATCAAGTCTGGCATTTAACGGATTAGCTGTCAAGGATAATATTGTCAAATTTCCAAGATTAGCCAAACAAGAGAGAGTGCAAGTATCAATCGTCAAATTATTAATCATCAAACTATTATTGTGTAACTTAAGCGACTGAAGGTTTGTTAAGGCACATAGCGTGCTAGGAATAAACCCTGTAAATGAGTTTAGCGCCAATTGAAGCCGCGTGAGCATAGAAGCATTGGAGAGGTTGGGGATTACTCAGCTGAGGTCATTGCCTCCTATAAAAAGGCCTTGTAGGTTTGGAAGCCCAAGACCTAAGTTTGCTTGGAGGCTACCCGATAGCTGATTAAAAGAAAGCGACAGTTCTATGAGGGTGGAGATATTGAATATTGAGGACCATGGAATAGTGCCTGCCAGTGCCACAATGTCACAATCCTATCTACAACAATTTCAGTATATATGGATTTATGTAACCTAATCTAACCCTATCTAATCGTTCATGACTTTTAGTATAAAATGTCACATCATAATATTAATTAATACAACAATTTTTAAACAGAAATCTCTAAAAATAAAATAAAAGTCCTAAATAGATTTGTCTTTTGAAACAAAACACGTTTGAGGTTGCATGTCCTTATACTTCTTTTTTTCTTCTGTTGGTTAACCTCAGATTTGAACATATTGACTTAGATAGAGCGTTTATTAGGCAAGTCAATATGTTATATTCATGATTGTAAACCTTGCTATTCGATTCTAATGAATTTTCCAACGATTTTGACAACAAAAAAAAATTGTTATATTCATGATTAACTATCTCCCTCATTTACTAAAATATGAAATAGTTAAATAACGATAAATTATGCAACCAAAATAAAAAAGATAAATCATAATTTGATCAACATAATGAAATATCAATTACCCGTCAAATTGTTGTTGGCAAGGGATATCACCTCCATAATTGTTAAGTTCCCAATATTCTTTGGTATGCTTCCATTGAAATAGTTTTCCTCCAAACCAAGATTAAGAAGCTCTCTGCATTGCCATAATTTGGATGGAAGTAGACCATCAAACTGGTTGCGACTCAAACTCAAGCGTTGAAGACTAGGAAGATGTTGGCATATATTGTCTGGAAGACCACCACTCAAGCTGTTTCCATATAGAGTTAACGTAGTCAAAGAAGACATGTTGAAAACAACCACCGGAACATGGCCTTTTAGGACATTAAGTTGCACATACAACGTCTCCAGCTAATGTAAAAAGCCGATCTCTTTTGGAATTTCTGAAAAATCATTAAAATATATGCACATTTATATGCTAAACTCATGTTTTATGCACATATAATGCATTGCAACAAAAGCTGAGTCATATATAACTGTATCATATCAAGGCAATGCAACAAATATATATACCATTGAAATTGTTGGAGTTAAGGTATGTCTTCTTCAACATTGTTAAGTTCCCTATTTCTTTGGATATCGCACCTGTTAAGTATGCCAAACAAAGACTTAGAATACATGTAAATAAATGAAATTAGAAAAACACCACATTACATAATTTATAGAAAAGCTATCAGGGTGGCTATTTTTGGAGGAAAAAAAAAAGAACTCTCAACTAGTCACTTGGTCACTTTCTAATTGGTTTATTAGTATGTTACAATTTTTTCACTTGAAGGTACATATGGAATTTTTCTACAGTATTAGATTTGAAGGGTGTTTTTTATATTTATAAAATATTATGTTATAATGGGCCTCCATGTGAAAAAGGTCATAAATATTCCCGATTATTTATAATCTATCATCTATTTTTAGCCTACAACATGTACTCACTAGTTTCATAAGTGTAAGTTTTGTAAAAACTTTGAGTATATAAAAACTAAAAATAAAAACAAACAACAACATTATAGAATCAAAAACCAAATACATAATCGAAGTGAGAGTTTTTGAGTATTGGATGACCTGCGAGTAAGAAAAAATTAGCATAATTTTCTCAAAAAAAAAAACATATTAGGCTTATAGATTAATAACAAGATGTTGAAACATAATGATAGATCAACAATAGAGTCTAGATACCTTGTTGACACATAAGTACCTGATAGTTTGTTATAGCTTAGATTTATGTCTTGCAATGTAGATAAGTTGAAGATAGTCGAAGTTATGGTACTTGAAAACTGATTGCCATACAAATCCAATCTTTGAAGTTTGGGGAAGGACCCAAACCACCATGGAATGGACCCCATAAAATTATTGAATCTTAAGCCAATAAACTTCAGGCGACGTAAATAAGACAATTCATGGGGCAGGGTATCATGAAAACTGTTGTTTCTCAAGTCCAGCTCAACAAGAAATGAGAGGTTGCCTAAGTATGGTGGAATGGTGCCTGTGAGATCCATAAACGAGAGATTCAATGATGCTACTCTGAGGTGACGAGCACCACAAACAACGCCAGCCCAATTGCAAACGGAGGTGGTCGTTGACCAATTGACCAAGATGTTGTGAGGGTCACTAGTGACATGGGCTTTCAGAGCAAGAAGAGCAGACTGGTCTGTGGTGATGTTGGTTTGTGTTGCACCTACTGTGCCTATAGAACTGTACTGCAGCTGCAGCACCAGCAAGAAGGTGATTGACAAGAGGAAACAACTTCTCTCCATGACCACGAGCACTGAAAACAGAGAAGTTCCTTCCAACTTCAAATTGTTTTTCGTTTGTTTTTTCCTTTCTGATTTAGAACATTGAATAATTTGTTGCAGTGCCAATATATGAAGGCAGAACAAGGTGCCAAAGAGTGGGGCACATGATTGCACCCTTGTGGGAAGAAACTCGCTAGTAGCCAAATGCAACTGGTCCATTCATTGCAACGACTTTGACTTGTATTAAAGGAAGAATGGACAATTGGGAATCTGTTTCCTTTTCCACGCATCTGTTGGGTGGAACTTGATAAAACCAACTTTTTTGGGTTAATATGGGTTGGTGGAACTTTATAAAACCATATAGTTGCGGTTGTGGTTGTTGACCAGTTGACCAAACAGTGAAGGGCAAGGCGTAAGGTAGAATGGAGAAGAAACAGAGCAAGGACTTGTTATAAGATTCGTGATATTCCGTCAATCATGATTCGTATATGTACTGGCGGATCCATGAATTTTTCAGGGAAGCGGCAATGTTTAACAGACTAATTGATCATTGTTTATAAACTTTATATAGTATATAAATTCATGTCAGTTAAATAATTACTCTACCAAAATTCATATCAAATCATCAATTAATATAATCAAAATCAAGATCAATTAATCCAAAAAAAAAATGCATATCAAATTATCAATTAAACAAACAATCATAACTGATTCTTCCTTGAGTTGTTCACGTAGTCACTTTCTTCTCGAGTTTGCTATATATTGATCATACGATTATAGAGGGAGGCAAATAAGAAAAGAAAAAATAATAATTTAATTTAACAGAATTTTTTATAAAATAAACGAGAAGAAGAAAAAAGAAACAAGTAGTCAACAGCATATTGATCAACCACTTAGACTACATCATATTGATTTTGGTTAGAGAATATATAATATAAAAGACTTTCAACAGAAACTAAAACCAAGAAGCCTGGTTTAGTTTCTTCGCCGTGCACGTTT